ACCAATCAAGCTATGCACCCTCGTTAATAGCTTTAATAACACACACACACCCAAATAGAATGCACGTTATTCCGGAAACACCAATCCCACTGAAAAAAGCCTGAGATCATTAAAAACCTTACTAAAACTAAAGGGATTTATTTATGTGTAGGATTTTATTAATATTTTATAATAGCCGATGAATCTTTTAATTTGACACACTAGATTTCATATTATTACAATGCTTATTATTTTCAATATGATCATGAGCCTATGTATATATATATATATATATATATATATATATATATATATATATATATATATATATATATATATATATATATATATATATATATGTGTGTGTGTGAGAGAGTCGCTTTCAACTTAAGTGGTTACACCATCTAAGCCGTGGTCTAAGTGGTGCGGCCATAATACATACTTTAGTGCATTAGAACCACATGGTGTGGACCACATGGTAGGTGGCTAGGACCGATAGACACTATTCCTAATTACTCATCGAGAGTCAGGAACAAAATATATCATTCATGTAAATATAAGGTTTTGATTGTTTTCAATTTTTAAGTTTAACGATGAATCGTGATTAGAACGGCTTTCCATAAAAGCTAATTAATATTACACTAAAGAAATTAAACCAAATAAAATACGTGTCTAGGAACGATTGTACTATCGTCATCCCCGTAATCCTAAAAACATTATAGATAAAAAGTAGTAGCATTTATTTACCCTAAATACTTTTTAATGTGTTTATTTTACAAAAAAAATAATAATAATAATAATAACAAATAGTAGCATCTCCCGATTTGTTCGCCTCTATTTTATAACAAGTAAGTTATTATTTTGGGCCGGCCCAAATAGCCCAGACCAAATATCGCAGGCGGGAAAAATGGCGGGGTGGAAAACGAATAACTACACCAAAACAGAGAAATGAAGCGCTACTCCGATAGTCTGATAATAACAGAATCGGTCTGCTATGTTGCTCAATGCTCGACATCCTCTTCCCGACGTCTCCGTTGAATTTATGATCTACATCTGTTGTTGGTCTTTCTCCTTCATCGACAGGTAACATTTCATCTTATTACTCTAGTTTATGCGTAATTTAGGGTTTGCAGTCATATACTCCCAAATGATCGATAATGCACATAAAGCTCAGTTCCACCCTCTAGTCTATACTATTCTTCTCTCTGTTTTGCTGTTTTTTGTGGTGCTGTGAATTTTAAACAAGGTTTGATTTAAGTGTGTTTTGTCATTTGTGTTCGTAGTGTCCCGTGTTTGCTAGGTTTTTGGGGAATTTAAATATGATAAATTATTAATTTGATGATGATAAAGTGAAGCTGCTCAACACGCGAGATTTGATCATGCTACATTTTTATTAGTTAAGAAGCCAAAAGAATCTGCATTTTGATTGAAATCCAAAAGGTGTATTGTATATTATCAATAGAGGATGCAAAATTTGTATGAAGCTGCATATAGGACACGAACACACACTTGGTAGAAATGAAATGGTAATAATGCTAAACCCCTCCCTCCATATTGGAAAACAGACATGTATGTTTCACAAAAGTAACTCAGTGGGTGCCTATATATAGGGTGTCTGTATATCGTATAGACGGAAGATTTCATGATTTAAAAACATTGCTTGATCACTACATGACCTGTACATGTATAATGAGTTAGAAAAAAGATAACACGACGAAAAAAACTACTATCCCCTGAAACTTTTGTATATTTGTTTGATTAGCAACCTGTTCTTGAAGGACCGTTTTAAGTTTTATTCATATACCATCATATTTTGGTTGTTGATGAGCACATATCTGATCTATTAATAGTTTACTACACCTTGTATTTCTATATACCACACTTCCACTATTTAGTCCATGTAACGCTTTTGTTGCAGGATAGAGACCTTTTACAATCATAGTTAGCACACCATATTTGCATAAAAATAAGCATCTTTGGCCTACTTAATTGGGACAAAATTCTTCATTTAAGAACCAAAAATTCTAATTTTTTTTTTCTCAAGTGAACATGCATAGTACTCACAGGCAGTTTTTGTAACTAGGCCTTTTAGTGGAATTTAACTTGTAGAAAATGCCATCTCCTCAAACCCTTCTCTAGATCTATGATTACTACAATGGAACTGAAAAACTATTGGAGCTAAAGGTTAACACAATTGACATAATCAATCATCTCTGTTAGTGAGAAATTTAATCTCATCGTCCCCAAAAAAATCGAGAATTTGACCAATTCCAGTTTGTTGTTCTGTTGTGATGTGGATTCAACCAAGTACATGTTGTTTAGAATGTTGTACTGTACAGCATAAATCATAAGCTGTTGTATTCTATGAACCGGTTCAAAGTAAAGGAAAATATTACCAAACAACTTTTCTGTAATTTTAATAATTACGATTTACGAATGGTAAATCTATTTGATGATTACAAAAAACTTGAAGTCAATAGGAGCCCTCCAGCAAGAACATTGAGTCAATAATGATGAGCATTTCAAGAGTTGAGTCATCATTTCTTTCTCTTGGTTGATGCCAAACGGTCCACACAATGTGTTTATAGTCTCGAGTCTCGACCCCGATTAATAAAATATCCTCCAGTCAAAGTCAAACCATTTACTTTATTATTAGAAAATTACTACAACATTTCTTTTTTTGTTTGACAATTTTTAAACCATCACACAGCTTAAACATCAAAAATAACTAATTAGGTATATTGCATTGTGTGCAACTTATATAGAATTTCAAAAATAACATTTATAGCTATTATCGTTTTCATTACAATAATGTTATAAACTGTATTATTAGACAACTATAATCAAAATAACATTATTCGTAATATGCACCCGGTTGGTGATAAAAGTAATGATGGTGCTCATAATATGCACCCATGGGCCAAAAAGAATGATAATATCGAAGAGCTAATCAATATGAAACCTAAAAAGAATGATGTAACAAATTTTAGACAAGTAGCATTAGCTTCTTTGGTTCGTGATCCCAAACAGAGAACGATTTTTAGTTTTAAAATACTCAAGCCACCAACGTGATGATGATATTAGAAGATTATATATTAAACTTGAACCATACCAACTTCAAAAATCAAAGTATTGCTCCACTCTTAGTGATCCAAATGGTCATTGTGTAATTTTCTACAAACTTGTTTTAAAAACTTTCGATAGATGGAAGCTCCATTATACTTAAATCTTAGCTCCACCCGTGGCATTACATGTAACAAATAAGACATATGCAATAGCGCTACACAAATAATAAATTGAAAATGCATCAAATTCGAAGTTGAAAGTTGAAACACCCAAATATAAAAATAAAAGTTTAACAATAATGTTGGTGTTAATGAACACTATAACATTATATTTGATATTTAATATCCGCTTTTTATGTAGTAATCGTGTTGGACCGGAACACTTTTGCATCAAATGACAAATATGGTTTTTAAAATGAAATTTGGTGTTAGATTGAGGATGTCCTAATGTATTATTATTTGTTTGAATTATTTTTATTTACAACTTAGTAGAGATAATAACGCATCCGTACCAAGTAATTTTAATAACGGTTCATGAAGTCAACACAAAATTTTGAATAATAAGTTTTCAAAAACTATATTATTCAAATATTATTATTCAAAAGTCATTTTCGTTTGCTACACACTCGAGAAACTAAGAACCGAAATGAAGTTAATGGTTGTTTGAATATAAAATGTACTATATACTTTTTTTAAATAATATTTTTTGCAATATAATATATGATATGTAGTATCATTCCGTAGATACCGACATTATAATTTTACGATTGGGATTTTCTAATATGTGCCTTAAGGGCACATATAAAAAGTATTAATTATGAAAAATATTACCATAATTAAATTCAAAATACATTTATTATGGAAATTATTAATGCACTTCACATTTAATTATGATAATACTTCTTATAATTAATGTATTTTATAATTAATTATGGTAATATATATCATCAATTAATACTTCTTATATGTGCCCTTAAGGCATATATTATAAAATCCCTGATAATTTGTTGAATAAGTTTTTGGTTTGTAGACAAATACATGTCATATACCAAGCATCGGTAAATTGATAAATTATAAACGACTTCAATCTTTGTTTTTAAGAGGGACGATCAAGTCCGTAAATAAGGATGAAATTGAACCCTTTGATAAATATGCATGTGTTTTTTCCAAAATTCTGGGGAAAAACAAAAGAAAGATAAATTAATCATTTTACATTCATTTAATACCTGATTTAATGGTGTTAATTAAAAAAATCAGTGATGCAAGATTTGAAAATCATAATGACCGATAATAAAGCGTTTTGCAATATTGTCATGAAGTTGCTATTTTTTTGAAAATCACGCGTACCATTCTTGAAATTTTATCTAAGTTTAATTATAAATGAAAATTTTAAAAATTATTCAATTTCTTTTATCAAACTGTATTCTAATTTAACATGTGGTCGTATTACTCAATTTTTTATATAAGATTCTCACCCCTAATAATTATTGTTTTTATGGTTTGAAATTAAGTTGTATTTAAAAAATAACAAATATATTTTTTCAAAGAATGTTTTTGAACGGTTTTTTAGATATAAAAGTGAGAAAATTTTGAAATATGAGTTGTTTTTCTGAAGAAAATATAATAGTTTTGATGAAGTTTTCCGTATATGTTACTGGATATTGATTTCGACATCTTCCAGATTGTATATCTATCAAATTGGGTTTTATACTTTATAGTCCATCTGAAAATGAATGCAACATTTAATACATTACAAGAATGATGACAAAAAATAAAACTTATAATAAAATCAAATACTATCTTATATTATAAGTATTAATCCTGCGTAACAAAAAACAATATCTAAAGAAAAAACATTCTAATATCTCGCAATATATGGTAGATAACAAATGTGATTTGCCAAATCGAACCAACTAGAAACGAATCTGCTTATTCAGCGGATGAGCCGACGCATATTCAACCGGCGGGATCACCAATAACATAAGAAGCGCCAGAATCCCCACCGGAAAGAACATCAACATCATCGGTGGTGGCGGCAATGGCGGAAGCATTGGCGGCACAACCAGAAGCGACGCGGTTACGATAATAAGTAAGCCCACCAACTTCATATCGAGTCTCTTCTTCTGTATTTCTCGAATTCTCGTTTTTCCGTTCATAAACTTGGAGTTTTCGCTTCCTGCTATCAGAGATCCTGCTTTGAGCTTCTGTTAATGGAGAAGCGACCATGGTTATTTAAACAGTTGCGAAGATGAGTGAGGAATCAGAAGAGAATCAAAACGTTGATAACATCAAATCCCGATGCGATACGTCGTGCAGAAGATCTGTCTACCAAATCATCCTTTTTTTTTAATCTTTTTTTCTATTTGCAAATCTTATTATAATATAATATGTAAATATATCATACACTGCACCTTCAAAAAATTCAAATATCATAAGATTGTCTTCGATCATCGGTTAAGAAACCTTTTTAAGTTGCTGTTTACGCATTAAATTTATACGATATAACTTATCATGTTTCAAAAACATTCATAATCAATTACATTTTAAAATATTTTTTTTATAAAAATTAGTTTAAAATATTTAAGATAATTATAGTCATAAGCTTGTTCTGATGTAAAGAGTTTGTTAGTTGCAGTATAACGGTTGAGTTTTAAAAACATAAGGACATATATTAATATTATCGGTGCCATACCGCGAAAGATATTCATTTTATACAATAATGATAGTTATGATATACATTTTAAAAAAGATCATCTAAGAAGACGGCCATGTTCTAGAAGTTTGTCAATCATTATATATATATATATATATATATATATATATATATATATATATATATATATATATATATATATATATATATATATATATATATATATATATATATATATATATATATATATAGAGAGAGAGAGAGAGAGAGAGAGAGAAAGAGAGAGGTTCTGTTAAGATTAAAAAAAAATAATGATCTTGAAATTCAACCTCAACTACATATTTCACATCTGTTACTCTAACCCTTGGCGTACCAGCGCGACAGGTCTGTTATAATCATAAATGATTATATTGCCCCGTTCGTTCCTTTCTCCTCCGCCACCATCCCCACCACTTCCAACTCCGTCACTTATATCACAGTCACCTCTACCATAACCATCTCTTTTGCCACAAACTGTAATAATCATATGTGATTACTTAATCTATGAACAGACATATGTATAATCATTTGTGATTAGACATATACGTATAAACATGTATAACCATATATGATTATACATCTCTATCATATAACCATTTATGATTAAGCATACATTGTTGATGACGGTACATTGGAGCGTTAGAATAGCAAATGAGAAATATGTGGTTGAAATTGTATCTCAAAATCTCTATTTTTTTTTAATCTCAAATGAACCGTTCTATATATATATATATATATATATATATATATATATATATATATATATATATATATATATATATATATATATATATATATATATATATATATATATATATATATATATATATATATATATATATATATATATATCGTGTTTTAATATAAATATCTCACTATAACTCATATCCAAAAAAAATTGGCCATCAAAAAAGATATTTATATAATTGATCACATTTTGCCCTTCAACTTAGTGACTAAAGTGTGTAATTTCATACAAGTGGTTAGTGTCCAAACAATAACACAACTAAAATATTGCTAGTATTCCATAATTGACATAAAATGTGGGTATTAGTACGAATTGACTTGAGCTTCTCAGATTATACGATTAACCAAAAAAAATTATAATTCAAAAAAGAAATCACCTTTTAAGAATGATATAGCCATGTTAAAAATATGGTGTAAGAGAAGAAGTGGTGTCATTTATGTTGTATTTCTACATTGCCAATTTAAATGTCATCTCATCTTTCTCATACTACATATTCAATTTGTCATTTAGAAATGATCGACTTATCATAAAAAAATTTGAATTATTGGTAAAAGAATAAAAACAAATACTTATTTTTTTACGATCTGTCTCATCTACAAAGAGTTGTTGAACGCTTTTGTCATGCCATGGTCAAGGAGCGGTGTTCCCTTGACATGCCATGGTCCACATCAACATGTCGAAAAACGGTACCGAACCACTCCGTCTAACCTAATAAAAACCACCGATATTTTTAACATCTAATGTTCTAAATTTGTTATCAGAATTTATCTCACAGTTTAAGAAGTCAGAAAAATTTGATCACCCAAGTTTTTTTACTCGTTTTACACTTTTACCATTAAACTCTTATTTTCGTTAATAAAATATCATTTTTGATCGGCTATTAAAAGTTTAGCTTGTTTCTGACAACCATGGTCATGAAGATGATGATTTAAGCGTGCATTAAAAATTTTCCGAGAGAAAATGAGAATTTTAAAAACACGTTTAACTCAACAATTTTTCAAAATTCTTTACGGAAAATGGAAAATTTTCTTTTTCCAAAATTATAAAAAACTTAGAAAAAAAAAAAAAAAAATTGTTATTGTTTTTCATATTTTTTTAATTCTAAAAACTTCTAAAGTATAAACACACCCACCTCTACCTACCCCCAACCCACCACACTTATGCCTAAGCTTCACCCCACAAACACACCCACCCACCATCTCCACTACCACTACCGCAATCACCGACCTACCATCACCACCGTCACTACCCCATCATGGCCTCACGGCCAGCACCACCACCACCGCTGCCTATCATCACCCTTGTACCCATGTTTAAATGCACGGGTTATTTCAAGGAGAATATTTCTTTTGCTTTAATTAAGTAATGATATAATCACCAATCTTGAAAGGACTGTTTTCCTTATTTAGTGATTTAAGAAGTTTTAATTGTTTTGCTTTTTGGTTGGACAAGGCAGACTATTTTTTTTATGAATAAGTAAGATTCTTATCTTCGGAATTATTTTCACTCTATTGTTGTTTTCCTTCCTCTTCAAGATCCCTATCAAACACGTTTTGTAGTTTTCTAGAACCGAAAAAAATAAATAAAATAAATAAGTTTTAACTAAATACGTTTTCAAAATTTTCCAATGAAAACGGAAAAGAAAATGTGTTTTACCTTATAACTAAACGCAACATAAGTTTTTCTCCGCTCTTCTTTCTGTCCTCTCTCATTTATTTGACTTATCTGTGACTTAAAGAAAAACTCACTCCACTCTTCTGATGAACATGACAAAGATCTGTGCTTGTGGAACGCACGATTACAAACACATGATTTCTGGAACACAAATACACACATACACAATTTCTTAACTTATAGAGGCATGATTTCTTGAACAAACACACGAGAACAAAAAGTCCCAACAGAATCTTGATTACTGGAATTGAATTTTGGGTTTCTAGGGATGAACCCAAAAAAAATCAAAGTTAATGGTGGTATGAAGATCTTGTTCAAAACGGATTTCTGGGTTTCTTGTTTCTGGATCCATGAAGATCGTGAACACACACACTCATATCTGCTCACAGTTTTCATATTCGATTTTTGGGTTTCACCCCCAAATTTTTATAGATGAGGATGCATTCTTTTATCTTTTAAATTTAAAAGCTCACCTTAAAAATAAATAAATAAATAAAAACCTGATAATCACATCAATTTGGAAATTGAGATTTCGAGATTTTTTACAAACGTGATACAAAAATCTTAACATAAACACATTTTGCATACATGTACGAACCTATACACATTGGTATGTATACATGTATTACACATTGAGTGTGCATATACGGATGTATGTATCCACATCTGTACACGCTAGAAAGCTATGTGTTTGTCCACATCTGTACACATATGGCATAGACACAGATTCATCAACATCTATGCATATATATCGTATATGCATAACATGCATACATCTGTACACATATGTATCTGTTTTTTTATGATCAATTTTCTTGATTCAAATATGATGATTCCATAACTCATATACAAGAATGCCTTTTTCTTTGGCTATCCAGACCTAATAGTAATACAAATATAAAAGCAATCCAACTCAAACTAATTAACCAAGATAACAAATCTAAAGCAAGTTCAGCCACATTTTTTTTTTCTTTTTTTCCTTTTTTACTTTTTTTTTTTTTTCTATTTTCCATTTTTCCTACATACAGAAGTAGAATATAAATATAACAGATGCTAAAAAAAAGTGATGGAAAAGAAACCTAACATTTGTCAATGACTCGCATCTCCAAGATGAATTATCTTATCCTTCATAATCTTCAACCCATCATCCTTTGCTGCTTTCTATTTTTGGACCGAATGAACACACTGAGGATGAAAAAGAAAATGACCATTTTACCCTTTTGTAGGAAGTGATGCTGAAAAAAACTGTTGTTGTTAGCTGTTACTCACCAACATGAACATGATAGTATATGATGAAGTAGGTTTGATAATGATGAGTCAACGGCAATAAATGGCTTGATCAATTAGTGGAGGAATTTGTTTAATTTCAGTTCCAAGCTCCTGCTCAATCCGATACCTGTACCATTAATACCCATGAATATAGTTATAGTTATACCACAGAATTAGAAAATAGGGGTAATTCTGGTAATGCATTCATGTTACATTAAAATAACACTTACAAGTTGAATCTGTCTTCAAAGGTTATCAAATTCACAGCCAACCCAAGATGCCCAAACCTTCCCGAACGACCCACCTATAAATTTATTAGAAAATTATAATCAATCACAGTCAAAGGGCAACATACTTGATACTTCACTTCATCAACATTCAAAAGCAGATACATAGATGAGTATTCTTGTAAGTAATTATAATACAGAAGGTTACAGGTTAAATCACTTATCACCCACCCTGTGTAGATACGTTTCAGCATTCCTGGGAAAATCAAAGTTAATAACAACATTAACTGCCTGAATGTCTATCCCCCTTGTAAATAAATCTGTAAAGAAAGCCATATCACAACGCATTCATTTATTATTAGTATTTTTTTTTTCTTTAAAAAAACTCATTATACATACAAAAATCCAATTAGTAAGTAAATCATGATAAGCATACCAGTACAAACAAGGTTCCTGCATGCACCATTGCGGAAGTCATGGAACACCCGATTCCTGTGATCTTGCAACATTTTAGCATGAATATAGAAGCAGGAGTAACCCAGCTCTGTAATTTTCTTAGCTAAGAGCTCAACCCGATTCACAGAGTTGCAGAAGATGATAGATTGGTTGATTTGCAGCTGTTTTTGTTAATCACCCAACCAAATAAAAACAACATCAATCAACAACAATAACATTTTCTTATCAAGGTCAACCTATTCTACTTTCAAAAACCTATCCAATTATACCATTATACTTCCACTTTTTTTCTTATACACTGACATTCCTATAAATAATTGCATAGATTTTTTAAAATATAATATTCTAACTGGAAGAAATGGAAGTATGATGCTATAATAAACTA